TGTCCGAAGCGAGTACATCCGACGGTTCTCACCAGCTAGGAGTATTGCGCTGCTTCAGCCGCAGTCGTCAGTCGTCGGCGGGCGTCGCCGCCAGACCTCCGTCCGGCAGCGCCGCGTATGTGTCGCCGTTGCTTTCGATGGTGCCCAATGGCTCCGAAATCAGACCGTAGTTGACCGCATAAAGGCGCTCGTACACGCCTCCCTGGGATAGCAGCTCGTTGTGCGTGCCCATCTCGACCATCCGTCCTTGGCTCAGGACGATAATCTTGTCGGCATTGCGGACTGTGGAAAGCCTGTGGGCGATGACTATGGAGGTGCGGCCCTCCAGTACGCGTTGCAGCGCCCGCTGAATCAGGAGCTCTGTCTGCGTATCGATGTTGGCGGTAGCCTCGTCGAGGATAATGATGCGGGGGTTTCCAATAACGGCGCGGGCAAAGCTCAACAACTGCCTCTGGCCGACGCTCAGGTTGACGCCCCGCTCCGCCAAGATGGAGTCGTAGCCGTTTTCGAGATTGATAATGAAGTCGTGCGCGCCCACTGTTCGGGCCGCGTCCACTACCTCCTGTGAAGAAGCATCCTCATTGTTGTAGCGGATGTTGTCTGCCACGGTGCCTGAGAACAGGTACGGTTCCTGGAGGACCATGCTCATCTGGCCCGCGAGGGACCTGCGGGTAACGTGGCGGATGTCGTGGCCGTCTACCATAATGCGCCCCTGCGTTACGTCGGCGAAACGGGCTATCAAGGTGACCAGCGTGCTCTTGCCTGCGCCAGTGGAGCCAACGATGGCTACGTTCTCTCCGGGTTGGATGCGCAGGTTGACGTCGTGGAGAACGTCGACGCCAGGGACGTAATGGAAGTGGACATCCTCGAATTCGATTTCGCCTTGAATTTCAGGCAGTTCCAGGGCGTCCGGATCGTCCGAAACCTCCGGCTTCAAGTCGAGAACCTCGAATATGCGAACACCGGCGGCCATGGCCCGCTGGAGCATGCTGTACTGCATTGTCAGGTGCCGGATGGGCTCAAAGAACCGTTGGATGTAGAGCGCGAAGGCTACCAGCACTCCCCATTCCAGGGCACCGCCCTTAGCCATCATTCCCCCGGCGAAGACTACTCCGAAACCCATCGCGATTCCAATGAGCATTTCCACAATTGGCTGCAGGGCGCCGGAAAACCGGCTGGCCTCCAAGTTGGCGTTCAGATGTTCCGAGTTAAGATCGTCGAAGTGGGCCATGTTGGCGTCCTGGCGGTTAAGACTCTGCACTACCCGGACACCAGTGATGTTCTGGTTGTATTCCCCGTTGACCATGGCAATGGCGCGACGGATCCGCATGAATGAATGGCGGGCGAACTTCTGCCAGTAGCCTAGTATGAAGAAAAGAGGTGGCACGATGGACAGACAGATTAGAGCCAGTTGCCAGTCTATTATGAGCATCATTGTGACGATACCCAACAGGCTCAGCACGTCGGAAAAGCTCTGTACTATGAGCTCGAAGGTTTCTTGCAACTGCAGCACGTCGCTCTGACTGCGCGACATAATCTGTCCTACGGGAGTGCGGTGGTAGAAGGAGGGAGACAGTTCCTGCAGGTGATTGAACATCTTGGTGCGTAAGGAATAGAGAATTCCCTGTCCAACACGGGGCATGAACACAAACTGCAAGTAGTTGCCGATGAAGTGCAGCACGGCGACCAGCAGGAATGCCGCGCCTACCCAATGAAGGAGAACCAAGTTGCCTTCCCAGATAGCGCTGTCGATTCCCACTTTGACCAAGTAGGGGATGCAGACGTTGGCTGCCGTATAGAGAGCCACGGCCAGCACAGCAAATATCGCGTCGCGCTTGTAAGGGGCGATATAGGACATCAGTCGCATGACGACCGATAGTCGAATGCCGCGCCCGCTATGGACTCGTCCCTGATATTGTCTGCGTTGGCAGCACGGTCCCCGGCCGCGTTCAAGCCGCGCATGCCGCCCATCATTCCGCCGAACGCGCGCTCTGGCCGCCTGCCGCATTGCCTAGGCCCGCCCCACGCGGTTGCTTGCGGTTCGGGTAGTATAGTACGGGCAAGTCCAGCATCATTTCCTCCTGTGGCCGGAGCTGCAACTCGAGGATCTCGTGGTAGATTCCTCCTACCGCATCCAGTTGCTCGTGGGAACCCTGCTCCACGATCCGGCCGCGGTCGAGCACAATAATATGGTCAGCATCCCGCACCGTGCTGAGTCTGTGGGCGATGACAAAGGTGGTGCGGCCCTGCATTACGGCTACCATTGCGGCATGAATCAACCGCTCCGTTTCCACATCCACACTCGACGTAGAATCGTCCAAGATGAGGATGGGCGGGTCGATGAGTACGCTGCGGGCGATAGAGAGTCTCTGTCGCTGTCCGCCTGAGAGGGTACTTGGTGTGCACACGTCGCCGAACAGGTGTTGTATCCGTCAGCAGTACGAACGTATTTAGTGGTCATGCAACTGCGCCACTTTGGCGGCCCTGATCACGTCGTCCTGTGTTGCTGATTGTCGCCGACCAGTATTCGATGTGTCACGGAGCTGTGTGGCGCTGACTGATGCAAGGACACAGTCCCCATGTTGAACTATCCCCATCGTGTTCTGACGGAGCGTGCGGAGAATTGGATCCCAGCGCGCAGGGTTGTCGCGAATGTCGATTCCATCGATGGTAATTCGGCCTTCGTCGACTTCGTAGAGCGGGGCAACAAATTAACGATGGTACTCTTGCCGCTCCCTGGAGCGCCCAGGATGGCAACGACCTGGTTCTTTTCTGCAGTGATGTTGACGTCGCTAAGGGCAGGGGTGCGGGGATCGTAACTGAAAGAGACATTCTCGAGGCGCACCGTCCCCTCGGCCCGGCCAATATCAATGGCGTGTCTCGCACCGGGTCCCGACAGACCGGATGAGCTTGCGTCAGCTACTCGAACAGCCGGCGCCCTGATGAGATGTCCACCATTTAGAGTGGAAGCTGGTGATGATGACCTGCCAGCCTATACATGTAAAAAGTCAACTGCGTTCGGATACAGCATCGAACATTCCCAGTTCGCCGGGAGTCAGGTCTCCCCGCAAGACCTCCCATCCGCCGTACCAGAGGATACGGCAAGAACGACAACGTAGGGAAAGTGACATAGAAAGATCATCACCACGCGCTGTTGGTCCCGGAGTCGCACGGTATCTGGAAGTATTCACCGCGCAATTGCAGCGCTTTGCGTTCGTACTTCCTCTTCTCGTATTCCTCAGTATGTCGACGGCTTCCGTTTTCAGTTCTGACCACATGCATGCCAACCAGATTTTCCTGGAGTACCGTGACCGTTTCGCCCATGGTTATCTGCACCTGCGTCCACATGGCACGCAGGCGACCCATCACCAGCACTGAGCGGGTTACGATGAAAGGGATGAAGGCAAGGCTGATCAGCGTCAGTTCCCAGTTGATGAAGACCAGGACCGCGAGCAAGGCCACGGCGCGAAGCCCGGCCTCTATGGAACGCACCATACCGATGTTGACGTATCGGCGAATCGCCTCCACATCCGACGTTGCCTTGGACATCAGATCGCCGGTGTGCTCCCTATCGTGATAGGCGAAGCTCATGTGCTGCAGCTTGTTGTAAAACTGGTTGCGCAGCACGTAGCAGACCTTTTGAGACAAGGAGTCCGTGGTGTAGGTGCGGGCAAAGTCGAAGAAGCCCCGGCACAGGCTTGCAGCCAGAAGTCCAACTGCCAACCACAGCAGCGTGGAATTGAGGGGGTCTTTTCCGTAGAAAGTAGATGTGGCCTCGTCAAAGGAGACCAGGGTATCGATGGCCTGGCCGAACAGGTAGGGGATGAACATGGAGAAGCCGACTGCAATGGCAAACGTCACGTATGCCAAGATAAGTCGAGTGCGAAACTGCCAGGCGATTTTATTTATTCGGATGAGTATATCCATCTAGGTGGTCCGTTCACATATCCTTCTCAGTCGTTCGGTAGCCTCGTGTCCTCCCTTAATGCAGTGTTCAATTCCGGGTTGAGCTACATCCGTTCGGGAGCGCTCATGCCCATGAGTTCCAGGGAGCGGCGGAAGACGATCTGCGCCGATTCCACCAACTTAAGACGGGCAAGGGAAACGTCCGCATCTTCGGGGTTGGCAGAAATGACCCGGCAATTTTCGTAAAATCCGTGAAAGGCGGTGGCGAGTTCCATTGTGAAGTGGGCGAGATGGTGTGGTTCCAGTGTCTCGGCCATCTGCTGAACCAGCTCCGGCAGCCGTAGCATATGCCGCACCAGGGCCAGTTCGCTGGGATGGGTGAGGAGCGAGACGTCGCCTCTGCTCCAATCAATATTACGCTCACGGGCGAGGTTCAGGATGCCGGCGTTGCGGGCGTGGGCGTACTGGACGTAATAGACCGGGTTTTCGGACGATTCTTCCTTCGCCAGTTCCAGGTCGAATTCCATTTGCGTCGAGGGTGTTCGGGACAGGAAGAAGAATCGGCAGGCATCGCCTCCCACTTCGTCAGCCAGCTCACTTAGCGTAACGAAGTCGCCAGTGCGCTTGGATGCGCGTACCACTTCTGTGCCGCGCTTGAGGGTGACCATCTGGGCAATCAGGATCGTCAACCGGTCAGGGTTAATCCCCAATCCTTCCACGGCCGCCTTCATTCTCGGCACATGCCCCTGGTGATCGGCACCCCAGATATTGACGACGGAGTCGTAACCGCGGCCGATGAACTTGTTGTGGTGGTATGCAATGTCTGAGGCAAAATAGGTGGGTTCGCCAGAGGACCGCACCACGACATTGTCTTTCTCATCGCCGAGCATGGTCGAATTGAACCAAAGCGCGTCTTCCCGCTGCGAAAGGTAGCCCTGCTCCCGCAGTTGTTCCAGAGCCTGATCGTATTCACCGGTTGTGAACAGGGTTCGTTCGCTAAACCAGTTGTCGAACTCAACGCCGATGTTGCTCAGATCTTGCCGGATGAGGGCGACCATCTTCTCTCGACTCAGGTCGCCAATTCCCCTTATCGCCTGTTCTTCCCCTTGACTCAGGAAACGCTCGCCTTCAGCGAGGGCGATTTCCTTCGCCAAGTCGGAAATGTAGTCCCCCATATACCCATTGGAAGGCATAGGGGATCCTGACCGTAGCATTGGCGGTACCGTGCCAGCACAGAGCGATAGAAGGCCTCCATCTGGCTGCCCGCGTCATTAACATAATACTCACGGGTTACTTGATAGCCAGCAGCCTCCAGGACATTAGCCAATGCGCTGCCAAGCACCGCGCCCCGAGTATGCCCCACGTGGACCGGTCCGGTGGGGTTTACGCTGACAAACTCCACCATTGTCTTGCGACCGCCGCCGATGTCCAAGTTGCCAAAGGCTGCCCCGGCACGCCTAACTTCCTCGACCTGGTCCTGTAGCCATGTGTCCTTGAGACGAAAATTAATGAACCCGGGAGGGGCTGCCTCTACCTGAGCAATCGGATCGCTTTCCGGCGTACGTGCCACCAGAGCCTGCGCCAGTTCCAGAGGATTTATGCGAGTAGCCCTGGCCAGCCGCAATGGCAGGTTGGTGGAAAAGTCGCCGTGTTCGGGATTTCCAGGGTGCTCCACCTGGATGTCAGGCATGGTTTCCAGGCGGACCACTCCATCGGTCCTTGCGGTCTCCACAGCCTGGGCAACCAGACGCCGAACGCTTTCAATGATCGGGGTAGTCGACATGACCGAGCTTTCCTCGCGTGTGTCGGCGGGTGTTGGTGAATGCGGTTCCCGGCGTTCGCCCGTTTCGTGGATATGCGTGACGCTCAGGAAAGGGTAATTCTAACATATTGACTTGTCGCGAATGGTTATTGAAGCCTTCTCCAAAATTGGCAATTTGCGACGCTCATTCAAGCGTGCCGATTTTGATCAACTTAGAGTTGGTTCATTTTCAGGATTGCAATAGTTCAACCGAGGGTTCAAAGGGTTTACATTGATATGTAGATCCAGGGCCTGTGAGAAAACGCCCGACCCAGTATGGATATGGCCGGGCGTACGGATGCGGTGTTTGCCAGATGATTGACGAAGGGCCTAATTCCTCCTCGACGCAGCCGCTTGCGGCAGAGCCGGGGATTGAGCAGAGAAACGCCCTCCCCGAAGAGTATGCCCGTGATCGTGCCCTGCTCGTCGAGGAGATGATCTATGAGGGCATGCGAGACGGCGTGTGGCACTATTACCTCCAGTTGCATCCTTCTGACCGCGCCGCCGTTCTGACTGAGTTGCCTGGCGGCATCCGGAATACTCTGGGCAGCGAAATGGCACCTGAGACCCTGGCAGGTCTTCTGGAATACCTGGAGCCTCGCGTCTCTGCCCGGATGCTGCGGGATTACGAGACAGAACGATTGGCTGCTGTGCTGGATCTGGCTGACCCGGCCGCAGCGGCGGAGGTGCTAGAGCGGCTTCCGGACGATAAAAGGGCAACCACGCTCGACGCTATGGCATTGTCAACGCCGGTCGAGACCCTGCTCCAGTACGAGGAGGGAACCGCGGGCAGGTTAGTCGACCCGGCGGCGCCTGTATTCAAGGAAAGAATGACCGTTCCCATTGCCCTGGACAGGCTGAGGCTGATGGGCCAAGCAGCAGAGCAGGTGAATTCCTTTCCCGTGGTAGATGATGAAGGGGTGCTGGGGTTGGTTCCCTGAGGCCGCTCCGCTTGGCACTGGCCCGTCCCTACGATGCTGTGGGGCAGATAATGGACCGGGACGTGATCTCAGTCACCACCTCCACCGATGAGAATGTTGCGGCGGGCCTGCTCAGCCGCTTCAACGTAAGCGAGATGCCTGTTGTTGAGGACGATGGGCGGGTGGTTGGGATGATTCATGCCGAGGACGCCGTTGAGATGGTACAAGAAAGTGCCACCGAGGACATGTTTCGAATGGCAAGCATCGGTGAGGAGCGGATAACGGGGCCTCTCACCGAATCAGTTCGCAGCCGTTTCCCGTGGCTGGCGGTGAACCTGGTTACGGTGTTTCTGGCAGCGGTTGTAATCGGTTTGTTTGAGTCGACCATCGTCAGGGTGGTAGCCCTGGCTGCTTTTCTTCCAATCGTTGCTGGACAAGGAGGCATTGGTGGGACACAGACGGTAACGCTGGTGGTCCGCAGCCTCGCGACAGGCGAGTTGCCACGGCAGATGGGCCTGCGCCTTTTGAAGCGGGAGATAACCCTGGGGTTGATTCACGGCCTGGTCCTCGGCGCCATCATTGGAGGAATCGGCTGGGCCTGGAAGGGGAATCCCATCCTGGGAATGGTGCTCGCCCTGGCAATGACGGGGAATATGGTGGTGGCGTCGGTTGCCGGGGCTGGCGTACCATTGTTTCTACGCGGCGGTTGAACATGGATCCGGCGGTGTCGGCGGCGGTGTTCGTAACGACCTTTACCGACGTGATAGGCTTCGCCCTGTTCCTGGGATTGGCGGCCGTGTTCATAGAGTTCCTGGTGTAGGCACGTCCCGCAAGGGCTACCGCGAATGAGCAGTTGCAGCGAGGTTAGGTATGGCTGGAACCATTGTATTGGCCGGCGGTGATGAGTTTCGAGTTGGATGCGAGGAGATGGACCGGGAGGTGATGCAGGCCTCCGGGAAGGATCCAGCGAGCGTCGTCATCATTCCGACGGCGGCCGTTACCGGGCCGGCAAAGGCGGCCAGAGACGGGGTCACGCACTTTGCTGCGCTTGGTGGAACTGCCAGCCAGTTGATGGTGCTGGAGCGAGGACACGCCAACGACCTAAAGCTTATCGAGCCAGTACGGGACGCCGATGTGGTGTACTTCACCGGCGGTAGTCCCGATCACCTGCTGGCCACCCTCGGCGGGTCGGCGCTTCTGTGGGCTTTGAAAGACGGGTTGGCCCGAGGGCTGGTCCTGGGTGGCTCCTCCGCGGGCGCCATGGTTATGGGCTCGCTGATGCGTCGGCCTCCGCTGTATTCGCCCCCGGAGGGAGGCGACAAGGGAGACCGGTGGGTCGAGGGCCTGGGATTCGCACCCAACATCTGTGTGCTGCCCCACCACGAGAGGCGCAACCCAGCCGAGGTGGCGGGGGAACTGCGCTGGTCAGCACCCGATGGCGTGGTCTACCTGGGGATTGACGCCAGGACAGGGGTCGTCGGAGGCCCGGACGACTGGCGAGTAACCGGGTTCGGCAAGGTAGCTGTATACCGGGGCAACGATTACGAGGTATTCGCTTCCGGCGAGCGGCTGCCCTCCGGGTTTTAGCCGTTTCAGGTTTCAGTCGCCGGGTTCTAGCCGCGCCTGTCGCGGAGTTCCTGCCAGACCTGCTCAGGCTTGATGCCGGTCGCCGCCATCAGCACGAGCGTGTGGTACATCAGGTCTGCGATTTCTGAGGGCAGGTGTTCGGTGTCGCCCTGGGCAGCGGCGAGGGCGGTTTCTCCGGCCTCCTCGATGACCTTCTGGGCGATACGTCCGACTCCTTCCTGAAGCAATTGGACGGTGTAGCTGCCCTCCGGCATCTCTCGCTGGCGGTCCTGGACGGTGGCGTACAGTTCGCCCAGGACGCCTGGGCCCCTGTCGGTGTCCTCGTAGCCCTCGGGCAGACCCTCAAGCGGGTTGAAGAAACACGAGGTGTTGCCGGTGTGGCAGGTCGGGCCGTCCGGGTCAACCTTCAGCAGGACGGTGTCGCCGTCGCAGTCCAGCCACGCTTCGCGAAGGTTGAGGTAGTTGCCCGAGACCTCGCCCTTGTGCCACAGGTCCTCCTGGCTGCGGCTGTAAAACCAGACCTGGATGCCCTCGACGGTGCGCTTGATGGAGCCGGGGTTCATGTATCCCAGCATAAGCACGTTGCCGGTGTTGACGTCCTGGGCAATGGCGGGCACGAGGCCCTGTTCGTTCAGCTTTACCTTCATAACAACGCTTCCCCGGTTTGAGTATTCCAGGTGATTGCCTTTCCCTTTATTAACGGAAGGCTTGGCGAGATTAAACTCGGGCTAGATGGTCTCGATCAGTCCTGGGAGTTCCGCCAGGGTGGAGACTCGAAAGGTGGGTGGCGGCAAATCATCGCGCAGGCCGCGATCGTTCCGGTCGATCCAGACGGCATTCAGGCCGACGGCTGAGGCCCCGTGCACATCTTCATAGTGGCGGTCTCCGACGTAGACAGCTTCACTGGGTGAAAGGGAGAGGCGGTCCAGCATCTCGAGGAACAGCTCCGGCTGCGGCTTGTAGCTGCGGGCCATTTCCGATGAGAGGACGGCCTCAAATTCAAGGTCCAGCAATTCAAGATTGGGTAGGAGAAAGCCGTCATCGGCGTTGGAAAGGACTGCAGTGCGATAGGAACGCTGGATTTCCGTCAGCGCCTGCTTCGTTTCCGGGAACGGTTCGCGACGGGAAAGGTCGGAGAAGAAACGCCTGGTCGCGGCATCCTCGTTTCCCGGAACTCCCAGATTCTCGAAGGCTATGCGAAAGCCTCCTGCCCAGGCGTCGAAGTAGGTCTGGAAGGGGAGGGACGGGTCGGTACGGCGCAGGCGGAACTGCTCCTCTGATTCGTGCCAGACCTGCCACAGCTGTTCCGCAGTGATGCCGAGCCCCTGCTCATCGATGATGGTCTTGAAACTCTGGCGCCACTGCCCACTGGGATCCTGCACCAGGGTCTGGTACATGTCGAAGATAACTGCCTTAATATCAGACACTGGCCACCTACAACGTGATAGTAGCGATCAAACTCCGGGGCGAACCGGGATTCCGCGCGCGTTCAGGTAGTCCTTGGCTTCGCCGATGGAGTATTCGCCGAAGTGGAAGATGCTGGCGGCGAGAACTGCGTCGGCTTCGCCTGCTTCGAGGGCCTCGTAGAGATGCTCTAGGTTTCCGGCGCCGCCACTGGCGATTACCGGTACCGGTGTGGCTTGGGACACGGCCCGGGTCAGTTCCAAGTCGTAACCTCTTTTCTGGCCGTCCTCGTCCATGCTGGTGAGGAGTATTTCCCCGGAGCCCAGCTCCACCGCGCGCATTGCCCACTTGACGGCATCGATTCCGGTGGGGGTCCGGCCGCCGCGGGTGAAGACCTCCCAACGTGAGTTGCCGTCCAGGGCCAGGCTCCGGTCGTCAGCAAGGGGGCCGTCCGGTCGCGGGATGCCGGGGTCCACCCTCTTGGCATCGATGGCGACGACGATGCACTGATTGCCGAACTGGAAGGCGCCCTCGGAGATGAGGGGAGGGTTGTTGACCGCAGCGGTGTTCAGCGAGACCTTGTCGGCTCCCGCCTTGAGCATTCTGCGGATGTCCTCCACGGTCCGGATGCCTCCGCCAACGGTCAGGGGGATGAAGACCTCTTCGGAGACACGCTGAACGACATCGACCATGGTGTCGCGGGAGTCCGAACTGGCGGTGATGTCGAGAAAGACCAGCTCATCGCCGCCCTCCCGGTCGTAAACGGAAGCGAGCTCGGCTGGGTCGCCGGCGTCCCTGAGTTCCACGAAGCTGATGCCCTTGACGACACGTCCGGCGTCGACGTCGAGGCAGGGGATTATACGCTTGGTCAGCACGTTGCTTCAGCCGCTCTCGGAGCCAGAAATAAGACCTCGAAGAGTATATCACCGGCGGCGCTTATCGGTGGGGTCGGGTCTTGCCCTTGGCGTAGGGCCGTTTTGGTGTGTCTTACGTCAGCTACGAAAGTCTTTTATATGTCTCAGTTTGTCTCATTTTTGGGTTGGGGGTTTCGAGGCAGGGCCCCGATTTCCGTTTTTGATGCACTTAGTGACGCGGGGTTTGGGTCCCCGCTTTCGCGGTGATGACGATTGGCTTTGCGGTGATGACGGTTGGGTGCTGAGGGCTGTTGGGTGTGATCCTCCTTCCGGTGTGGGTTGCGGTTGGGTTGTCGGGTTGGGGTCTGCTTAGTGTCAGAGGTATGGAAATCGCTGACATTCGCTGACATTTCCTGTCATTGGGTGGGTTATGGGGGTTTGGGTCCCCGCTTTCGCGGGGATGACGAAAGATCGCGGGGATGACGGTTGGGTGCGCGGTGATGGCGGTCGGGTGCCGAAAATTTCGCTATTCCCAGTCATTTCCGATCATTTCCGAGCGTTGAGTGGCGGCTCTGTGGTCCGGCGCAGGCGGAGGGCGAGCTTCTGGAGCATTTGGTGGGCCTCCTTGTTCGGGTTTGGGGTGGGTTACGGTCGTTTTGGGTGGCCCTGGGTGGCATCTGCCGGGGTTACGGGGGTTTGGGTCCCCGCTTTCGCGGGGATGACGAAAGATCGCGGGGATCAGGCGGTGCCGGGGATATTCCGTTCCAGGTTGTTCAGCCAAGGACCATTGGCGGACCAGGGGAGCAGGGTGGTGATGATTCCCCTTATTACAGGACGCCTATCATCGTCGATGCAACGCTGGAGGTATTTCTCGAAGGCCATATAGGTATGAAGTCGGAAGCCGGCGTCGGCCACTTTGCGGACGCAGGCGTAGGGGTCGGGTTTGGGCTGCTTGTTTGCAATGACCAGGTGCCAGAGCTCAGTGATTTCATTCGCGACGCGGCTGAGCCGGATGATGGCGAGTTCGGGGGCAAATTTGCGCTTAAGGGCCTCGACACCGTTCCTGATCTGGCGCAACGACATATGGCACGACGACATGGTTCAGCCTCCTGGTGGTTCCCGAAAATTTGGATAATCCGCTCATTTCCGATCGAACCCGATCATTTCCGATCATTTTTGCCTTTTGCCCTTGGGAGTTGCGCGCGACTCCGTGCTGGGATCCGGCCTGCGGCAGCGGGTTGTATTTCCATATATTCAGGCTAGAGATGTGTCATGAGGCTTGTAAAGGGGCAACTGTCAGCAATTTTGGGGACTGGCTTGCTCGGAGGCTTGGGGCCGTGGATTTCGGGACCGGCCCTTGCTCTTGTGGGTGTGACGGGGGTTTGGATTCCCGCTTTCGCGGGAAAGACGGTTGGGGGTGCGGGAATTACGATTTGGGATGGCGCCTGCGCCGGAGGGACGGACGGAGTAGATTTCGTCCCTTGCGCCTGCTTTTGTGGGTGTGACGGGGGTTTGGATTCCCGCTTTCGCGGGAAGGACGGAAAGATGCGGGAATAAGGACGGAAAGATGCGGGAATGACGACCTATGTGACCTTCGGCGTTTAAGACGCGATTGCCCTGCGGACGGAGTGCTGCGATTGGCGGTGGTTCGGCGGGTAGGATAGAATACCGGCGACTCTGAACAATGCAATTTCGATGCCGAGAGGAGGTCTGTTATGGCTCTGACATTGGCCGAGGCGAACCGAGCGGTGGAAGGGGCGGTAGCCGCTGCCACGGAGATGGGAATCAAGATTAACGTTGCAGTAGTTGACGCAGGCGGCCGCCTGCTGGCTTTCAATCGCATGGATGGCGCAATCTGGGGCGGCGCATACGGCTCGCAGGGCAAGGCCGTGGCCAGTGCCGCGTTCGGGCGCTCCAGCGGGGAACTGCAGGAGCGGGCCACCACTCCCATCATCTCAGGCATCCTGGCCGCCGAGGGCGGGCACGGTATTCCCAGCCAGGGCGGCCTGCCGATCATACGCAACGGGATGATCGAAGGGGCTGTCGGCGTGGGCGGAGGCACCAGCCAGCAGGACGAGGACTGCTCCGCTGCCGGTATCGCCAAGCTGTAATCAAGAAAGCGGTGTGACAGGTTATCAGCAAGGGGCGCACAACCGTGCGCCCCTACGTTTTTGCCGTGGCAAGGAGGGCGGTCACTGCCGCCGGGCTGCCGCTCCCTCCGGCGAGCTTCAACGCGCCAATCAGCACCCACGCGCCAACGGGCGGGAGCTGATGGAGGTTGGCGAGGTTTTCGAGGACGATGCGGGGCCGGGAGAGGACCAGCCTGCTGACGGCGAGGCTGCTGTCGATGCCCGGTTCCACGCCCGCCGTATCCGTCCCAAGGCCGGCAACGCCGCGCTCGCTGATCAACAGGGTTGCGGCGTCCAAGCCGAATCCGGGAAAGTGCAGAGTGCCATCGGCGTCCGTGCCAAGATAGGCATCGGGATCGTTCCAGTGCTGGTGCCAGCCGGAATGGAGCAGGACGAGGGAGTCCGGGGGTATTTTCCCGTGTCGCGACTCCCATTGCGCCAGAGCTTCGACGGTCAGGGCGTAGTCTTGATCGGAGCGGCAGCGGTCACGAACGTCGATGACCACGGCCGGTTTGAACAGTTCAGCGGCAGTGTATTGCTCCACGGTCCTTCCGTCCGGGTAATAACTGGCGGGTGCTGTCAGGTGTGTGCCGCCGTGTTCGCTCATCGAGAACCGGCGCAGGTAGTAGCCGTCTCGCTCGAATTCCGACCACGGCTTGAATTCCGTGGGCGGGTCGCCCGGCCAATGCGGCGCGTGAGGGGAGAGGTGGTGGCTCAAGTCCACCGTCCTGAAACGATTGAAGGCCCCGAATTGCTCGGGGCCTTCCTGCTGCGGTTGAGCTACTATTTTCTCAACTCCACCGGTGTACGAGATCCGTTGTTGCAACCTTCGCCGGGCTCGACTGCGCCTGCTAGGCCGACAGAGCCGAGGGGGAGAGCCAACCGGCATCGGCAACCTTCTGCCGAATGACGTCCCGGTCGATCCAACGCATGGCGGAACGAGGACAGTTTTGCAGCGAGACCGTCTCACGTCCGGGCCGAAGCCCCTGCACGGTACAGCCAGGTTCGGGCAATTCCACTTTGTTGATGACATAGCCGCGATAAAAGATTTTCATAGTCCGCCTCGAAAATTAGAAATATTGCTGTCCCGGGATTGTCCCGGTCGGCGGTAGACTCGCCGAAAGATTGATGACGCATATATGTTCTAATAAGTAGGCGGTGCCAGTCAACGGGCAACTGTCAGGAAAATTCAGTTCCGATAATCGCTTGGAGGTACCCGCTTCACCCAAACAGGCTACCCGGCGCAACGCCACTTGAGCCTATGATGACGTGGTACCGGTATATTCTCCAGCGTAGAGCAGGTTAATTTAGACCAGTTTCAGCGAGGAAGTCTGCCAAGGGACGAGATTCCTGGGTCGAAGCGGCCATGTCTCGCACCACCACTTCGCCCTTTTCGATCTCATCGTCTCCCAAGATCAGGGCGTAGGGGATGTTCAGGGCGTTGGCCTGGCGCATCTGGCCGCGCAGGCCGCGGGTGCCGCTGCTCAGGATGGCGCCGACACCGGTGCGCCTGAGGCGGACTGCGAGTTCCAGCGCCGCGGTGCGGGCGTTTTCGCCAACGTTTGCCACGAGGTAGCGCGGGGACGGTTCGTCGGGGACCGGAACGTCGCCCCGCTTGAGGTTAAGGGCGAGGCGTTCGATACCGGTGGCGAAGCCGATGCCCGGGGTGGGCCTTCCGCCGAGTTCGGTGATGAGGCCGTCGTAGCGGCCGCCGCCGACGATGGTGGACTGTCCGCCAACGTCGAGGGGCTGGATCTCGAAGACGGTGCGGGTGTAGTAGTCGAGGCCGCGCACCAACCGATGATCGACGACGTAAGGAAGGGCCATGGCGTCGAGGTAGCCGGACAGCTTTCCCCAGTGCTCGCGGCAATCGTCGCAGAGGTAGTCGGTGGACTGGGGCGCTTCGTCGCCGAGGGCATGGCAGGTCTCTACCTTGCAGTCGAGGAGGCGGAGGGGGTTGCGGCCCAGCCGGTCCTTGCAGTCATCGCAGAGGCGGTCGTGGTGGCCGGAGTAGTAGTCGCGCAGACGCTCGATATAGACGGGGCGACATTCACTGTCGCCGATGCTGTTGACCAAGAGCTGGACGTCGCGCAGGCCGAGGCGGCCCATGAGTTCCCAAGCGACCTCGATGACCTCGGCGTCGACGGAGGGGTCGGCGTCGCCGAGGGCTTCGACGCCGAACTGGTGGTGCTGGCGGAAGCGGCCGGCCTGGGGCCGCTCGTAGCGGAATACGGGGCAGAAGTAGTACATGCGCACGGGCTGGGGCAGGTTGTGCATGCCGTGCTCGAGGTAGGCGCGGCACACGGGCGCGGTGCCCTCGGGACGCAGGGTGACGCTGTCGCCGCCGCGGTCCTCGAAGGTGTACATCTCCTTTTCGACGATGTCGGTGCCCTCGCCCACGGAGCGGATGAACAGGTTGGAGTCTTCAAAGGCCGGGGTGTCGATGCGGCCGTAACCGAAGAGGCCGGCGACCTCGACCGCTTTCGACTCGATGTAGCGCCAGTATTTCTGCTCTTCGGGGAGGTGGTCGGCGGTGCCGCGGGGTGCTCTAAAGACCAAGATTTTTCTCCGTGGTGCAGGACGTGAATCAATTATAGGTTGGCGCCTGTCGGATTGAAAACACTCATGCGACAGCGCCGTCCTTCAGGGGCGCGAGGACGGCGTAGATGAAGTCGTTTATGGGAGTGGGGATGCGGGCTTCGGTACCCATCCGGACGACGTGCCGTTGAGGGCGTCGAGCTCGGTGGGGCGGCCGTTCTCGAAATCGGCGTGCATGGAGTTCTGGAAGTCGGGGAATCCCTTGATGAATTCGACCTGGCTCTCCACCAGACCCTCGGGCAGGTTGACGCCCCTGGCTCGGCCTACGGCGTCGACCTCCCGCATGGCCTCGGTGAAAAGCTCCAGACCTCTCGGGTCCTGAATGAATTCCCGGATGCGGGTGCGGGCGGCGCTAGTGATGCCGGCAAGGGAGCAGAGGACTATGAACTTGGACCAGATGACCTGGAGCGGGTCTGGGGAGAGTTCGGCGTCGATGCCTGCCGACCGGAGCGCGTTGCGGATGGACTCGGAGCGCGCGGACGTACGACCTCTCTCCTCGCCGAAAGAGAGCCGGGGAGTCGGGCCGATGCTGGCAATGACGCCGGGGGACTGGACGCTGGAGGCGGTCCAATAGGCGCCTGGAAGCGCGTGGCCCGGGCCCAGTGACTCACGAAGACGGGGGTGGCATTCCACTCCGTTCTGCAGGGTGAGGACGGCGGTGTCGGGGCCGACGAGGGGGCGGATGGCGGGGATGGCCGCGGCGTTGTGGTAGGTCTTGACGGTGAACAGGACGAGGTTGACGGGGCCGACGTCGCGGGCGTCGCTGGTGGCTGGAACGTTGACGGTGAACTCGGCTTCGTCCTGACGAAGGCGCAGGCCGCTGGAGCGGATGGCGTCGAGGTGGGCGCCACGGGCGATGAGGGTTACGTCGTTGCCGTTGCGGGCGAGCAGCGCGCCGAGGCAGCCGCCGACGCCGCCCGCTCCCATTACTGCGATGCGCATGGGTGGCCTATCCTATACCTGGCCTTCGTCTGCCAATTCTGCGAGGTCGGTCTGGGTCAGGCCGCCGATGGTGCAGAGGATTTCGGCGTTGTTTTCGCCCAGCAGCGGTGGCTGACGGTTGGGGGTGCCGGGTGTGCCCGCGAGGTGGATGGGTGTGTTGACGGTGCGGAAGATGCCGCCCATGTCGTTGCCGCCGTTGATGAACATGCCGCGCGATTCGAGGTGCGGGCAGTTGTCGAGGTCGGCCTGATCCTGGACCATGCCCATAGAGTAGCCGATTTCGATCAGTCGCTGGGTTACCTCGCCCTTGGGGCGCACCCGGGTCCACTCCTCTATGGCGGGCACGAAGTTGTTCATGTAGAACTCACCGCTGATGCCCTCGCCCAGGTAGCGCGAGTCATCGATCAAGTCCTCCCGGTCGATGAGGCGCCAGAGGTCTTTCCATTTCTCGGCGCCGCCCGCTCCGGCCAGCACGACATAACCGTCCTCGGCCTGAAGGCAGAGCTGGGCGCTGAGCATGTTGCCGCGTTCGCGACCTGCCACCTGCCCGGTCGCCTGGTAGAAGGGCATTGTGCTGGTCATGTGGGCGACCATGCAGTCGTACATGGACATGTCGAGGTATTGGCCCCTGCCGGTGCGGTGGCGGCTTTCGATGGCGAACATTATGGCCAAAGCTGTCCAGACTCCGGGCACGGAGTCGCCGATGTTGTCGCCGACCATCTGGGGGCCGCCCTCAGGAGTTCCCGTAACGGTCATCCAGCCGCCCATTCCCTGGACGCATGGGTTGTTGGCGGGCCAGTGGGAGTAGGGTCCCGGGGCTGGGCCCTCGGGATCGCCGTAACCGGTGAGGCTGGCGTAGACGAGACGCGGGTTGATCTCGCTGAGGCGGTCGTAGCCGAGACCGAGACGGCGCAGGGCACCGGGGCCCCAGTTGTCGAGCAGCACGTCGGACTCGGCGACCAAGCGCTCGAAGGCCTGCTTGCAACGGGGGTCGCGGAGGTCGATGGAGACGCTCTTCTTGTTGCGGTTCAGGCCGAGATAGCGGGCACTGACACGCTGGCCGTCGGGGCCATCGATGAAGGGGCCGTTGCTGCGCCCACGTTCGCCAGCGCCGGGTCGCTCGATCTTGATGACCTCGGCGCCCATGTCGCCGAGGATCATGGAACAGAAGGGGCCGGCGACGATGTGGGTGACGTCGAGAACCCGCAGCCCGTCGAGCGGGAGGGGGATTTCTTCGTTGGCGCTCAGGCCACGCGGGCCGCCAGGCTCGGCTGTCATTACTGGGCCTCCCCTTCGCTTGGAGTAACCGGTATCTGCAGGCCCAAGCCGTTGTCGATGAACCGCTTGGCGTTGCGGACGTAGTTGGCGGTGGGGTTCTGCAGCCTGGCCTCCTGGGCCGGGCTGAGGGGGCGGATCTGCCCGGGGACGCCGATGACAAGCGAGTGGGGCGGTACGTAGCCTCGAACGATGGCACCGGCGCCGATAAATACGAAGTCGCTGACGTCGGCATCCTCAAGCAGCACCGCGTTGACGCCGACGAGGACGTTGCTTCCCACCTTGCCGCCGTGGACGACCGCGCCGTGGGTCAGCAAGACGTTGTCGCCCAAATCTAGGTGATCATCGGTGTGCAGAACGCAGTTGTCCTGCAGTGAGCAGTTTTTGCCGATGATGATGTCGCCATAGTCAGCCCGGATCACACATCCGGGCCAGATGCTGGAGCCCTCGCCGATGGTGATGTCGCCCACAATGTAGGCTGCCTCACTGACGAAGACCGATGGGTCGATCTTGGGGAAATTGCCGTCTAGTCCGCGTATCAAGGGAACCTCCATGGCGGTAGCCGAACCGTGATCTGGAACGGGTACAAGGATACAGCGCGTTGGGCGGAGGTGCCACTGTCGCTAGCAGGATTGGCAGTCTGCGGAATTCAGGGGGTAGGCCATTTTGCCGGACCGTGGGCGCTGTCTTTTGAGCGTGTTGCCGCAGTGATCTGGGTTCCCGCCCCCT